GCGATAAATTTTATTTTTCTAAATTGTATATAGCCCGTTATACAATAGATAGTTGTTGGCATCGTCTGCTGCTTATTATTGGACATCTAAAATATAGCTGGTTGACCTATATGAAAGGTTTTTCTGAACAAAACAAGGCAACGCACCTTTCCCTCAGACAAATTAATCCGAAACGGAATCTTCGTCACTGTTTTCTTCCTGCTCCTCAATTTTCCGTTCACTTTTTTCATTTTCTGCAGTCTGGCTGCTCTCGTTAGGAAGATCAAGCAAAAACGAATATGCATCCTTTTTCGAAGGCTCAGCCTGTGCATTCTCAGTGCTTTCGAAGGCCTTAACTCGTAATATTTATCTCTATTCAAAATGCAATGAGTAAAAAAATAAACTGTGTACATAGAAAGTGTAAAAATGTAACTGACGAGGAAACCTGACGGTAAAATTTATAGGTAAAATTTAAAACTTAAATTTATAAATTTATAATTTATTTTCGGTGCGGTGAAATGGAGTCATAGCGAAGTAGTAATACATGTTTCATAGATAAGATAACGATCGAGGAAATCCTCGACCATGGCTCTCTACTGTGTGAGAGTAGTGTCGAGAGTGAATGTACGCGCGGAGAGCACAGACGGCTCGCGCATGGCGAGAGTGAATGTCCGCGTGGGAGAGGGAGTGCCAAGCAAAATCTCGACAAACCGTCGACGGATCCTCGACCCATTTCACCCTGCTTCACAGGCCACAACAATAATGAGTATGTCGCTACGCGCGTGACCCATTACGTACCGCGGCGTTTTCATCACAATGTCAACGCCATTTTGAAACTGATTTAACTTGCAAGAATAGAAAAAAACAGACAAATTTCACTGTGAATATGTTCGATTTTAGATTTTTGTAAAGTAGTAAGGCTGCATTCATGTTCAATGGCAACAACACCGAATTCGCAGTGCAAGGCATGGCATCATTTTTTTTGGTAGGAATCGAAGATTTGAAATTTTCGAAGAAAAGTCCAGTGGTCGTGTTATCAATGCCTATTTGAGCTCCCCAACCACGTGGAAACAGGATTAATAACACAGCCTTTGACTGTCACAACCACTCTCTGCTCCTGAAACAGGACATTTATCACAGTCTGAGTTGACTTCTTGTTGGAGTTACGATGAGTGCTAGTACGAGACAAGGACCAGTGACATGAAAGCCTTACCAATGAGTTTTCCTGATCTGCCCCTCTAGCAAAGGCTCTGCTCTGAAACATTTCTCATTTTCATTGTTCAAAAACTCGTTTCCACCTACATTCAACAAAACGTATAGAGCACTACGCTATCATAATGATACTCAAAATCCATGTCATCGGTACATAAATGCCTTTTGCTTGTTATGCCAAATTCTTAAGGAAATTTGGTACCACAATCAAGTTGTTGACGAACAACTTGTTTTTTGAGGCCAGGAAGGCAAACAACTGACAAATATCACCTCTGTCGGCGTGGTCATAGAAATAGTTTAAAAAAGGAGTAGGATGGTTATATACATCCAGCCTAGCGCAACCCTCGTCCAAAAAGACTTCTTCATCCATTTCAAAGCAGCGCGATGGGGGAGATTCATTATCTTCATCTTCGGTGCGAAAATGATTGTTGGGAAAAAGTTCTTAATCGCGGAATTCACTTACTGTGGTGGCGTGGCGTGGCAAAGTGGCAAAACGTTTTAGCATTTGTAAACAAGTACCTTGATTGATGTGCGCTGTACAAAATTGCCGTAATAAGCGCTAAAAATGGAAAAGTGTCAAGAATTATTGCAGCCTCCTACCACCTCAAAGCAAGGCCGCGACCTCGTCCTAGCGATGATAGAAGAAAAATCTAGGTATTAAACCTTACAATTGTTTTGAATGAGAACCTCTCGAGATGGGTAAGATGAACATGTCACTGGATCAGCTACATGATTGGAACTCCCGCTTGCTCATTGATTTGAAAACAATGACAACTAGGATGGTTCTAAGACAATCTATCGCTTCAATGCGTGGCGCTAGATGATCTTAACAAGAGAAAGAATGCAATGTGAACGCGTATAAACGGCTGTGACAACGAAGTTGATTGTGTGCTAGATGCACTAAACTGGCAAACGTTTCCTGATGTAGTAATGTGCTGGTGTCTTTGTAATATGCTAGACAGTGACAGGAAGCTCACCGCCGGAAATTCCACATCTACTTCATCAGTAATGGTAGGATTCTGAAAGTAGAAGCAAGCAAAATCTTCTTAGTATAAAATTGAGGAAAAAGGTCGGCGCACAGGTGCTTGCGTTGATACAGTCGTTGGGGCTGCGGGTGCACTCTTAGGAGCTGCGATGGCGTTGACTGAACACATGTCCTGAATTAGAGCTCGAACGATGTCAGAGGCTATGGTGGCTACTGAGCTGTGTAATCCTCACCGCTGGAACTTCCACATCCACTTCGCCATCGTCGGGAGCGCTCTAAAACTGACCCGAATGGGATACGAGTCAGCAAACGAAACAGTGTGACCGATTCCCCCACGTGAGTTATAAAAAACTGCACTAAACTGAGTCCTGACGTTGCGATTGACTAGTCAATGCCCTAGAAGTTCGGTCAAAAAGCCCGTACCGTTCAGTGTTCAAACATCATAACTTTGTAAAATGTGTGGTATACTTTACTTCTTGTTTTATTTTATTTAATTTCGTTCAACATTTATAATTCTGCTTATATTACTTCATCTAATTTTATAGTAATAACTACTTTATTTTTGGGTTGGAGTTTGGCAATCAAAGTTATAGTCTAGTCTTCGTTCCACATGTGCCCTTAAACGGAGGCTAGACTATAACTTTGATTCCCAAACCGCAACCCATGATTTCTTCACACCCTTCACAACGTTACTTGCATGAGCGTGTCCCATATGGTTAAAGTTGTTGAAATCCAAAAACGGTCGGAAGGGAATTGGTCATGCATTTCTTTTTAGAACGATTACTCCCATTAGAATGGCTCCCAAGAACGAAGACCTCTCGAACAAATCTTACGACGAATTTTACAGTACGCATGAGGCAATGTCGTGCAGGCGGATCGGTCCTATTCTGTTTTTAGGCTTCCAATCACCTATGCCTACAAAAGACGCCCAGATATTGGAGGAGGTTTTCGATATAGGTGCTCCGCTTCGCAACTATACATTCCAGCCTACCGATTCGGCAACGCTTTCATTATTAGCGTGAAGAACTCTAGCTTTGTACTAAGTTTACCTCTCCAAGTGGAGAAAAAATTAAAAGAAATAGTCTAAAACACAGAAAATGCGAACACCGCTTTACGCTGCGGAGAGCTTTAGGAAGCAGAAAGCGAGACGAGATAAGAGACAATGGAGTCGTGGAGAGGACAAAGGAGTCTGACTCGAGAGAGCATAGCTGGCCAACATCACGACACTGATATGGGACGGGCGCGAATCAACTAGTAGGCGCTTAGTGCCTGTGAGGCGTTTCGAGGTGCCAAGATGTCGCGACCTCTGGTTGCGGATCTAGCGCCTATACCCATGAGAGAAACCTCGTTAGTGCGGCCGAAAACCTTTACCCTTAACACATTGACTACAGAGCTGGGGATATATTTGCAATCACGTCGGACCGTGCGGGGATATGTCTCCCGCACTTATTCCATCGTTTTTTTTCGCAGACGCAGGACTCCATCCAAAGCTTCTTGTTTCTGTTTTATAGGTTGGACATTGGTATAAGTATAAACTTTGTGGTCCACTGGATCAACAATTTGATCCATTTTGTAAACCTGAACAGGCATTTACTCAATCGAAACTTCTGCTGGAGGAGCCACTTTGTTTGTGCTTTTATCATGTAAGCTAACTTACTTAGTCACCGCTCTCTAAAGTTGTTTATACGTTCGAGCTTCCAAAAACGGGCCTTGTTGGACCGTGCGGGGATATGTATACCGCGACAAATGCGGTCGCAAAATCGCGTCGGTCCCACATGGCCAAAAACAGCAAACTCGCATTGTCGTCAATATGCTAAAAGAACAATTACGCTGGCTACCAGGTGGAGTTGCTTCTACGCGTTATCAACCGATAAGATCTGATGGTGAGATAGACGAGTGTTGGATGAGCGCAACCCCATGGAAGTTGCCATAAAGTAAGATAAGAAAACACGGCTGCTTGGAATGAGGTGCACTCCAGAAAAATCGGATGATAACCATAACGGTGTCAAGTCTCGTACCCGCTATTGCAAAGGTCTTCCGCGTCTGGTACGTGGGTGTAGCTGCTTGTCAGAAGTGGCTTGGCGCCTCATCCTACGGGTGATAAGGCGACTCCTCAAGCGCCAGCTATCGTCTCACAGGCTTATCGTCTCCATAGGATTTATAGTGACCACTTTCTTTGGGCAATTACGATGAGAGACATCAAAAAACGCGAAAAAGTACTCATTGTACAAAACGGTAGGAACTTTCCGACCGACTTCCGACGAGCAGATCAATCTCAACGTGAAGACGCAGTTATGTGATTTTCACTTCATTATCCCTTTCACCATTTCAAAGCCAAAAACAAACAGGAATCTACGAAAGATAATTGCGTACTGGACAGCGCACATGTGCTTGCGCTGGTACGGTCGTTGGAGCTGTGCGTTCACTGGTAGAAGCTGCGACGGTTTTGACTGAGCCCATGTCCTGAATCAAAGCGCTAGTGATCTCAAAGGAGACGGCGGCTACTGAGCCATGTGAATCTCACCGCTGGGAGCACCGCATCCACTTTGCCACTGTCAGGCACGCTCTGAAACTGACTCGAATGTGAAACGAGTCAGCAGAAATACCCGAATCCCCCAGGTGAGTAACTACAAGGCTACACTATAACAGGGTCTTTAAGTTGCGATTAACCGGTTCATATTCTATTTAGTGGCGCTCCCACTCGGAGCACAAGAATGTGCTTTGTACTTACGGACGGATAAACAGATCAATCTCAACGTAAAGGCCGCAGTTAGTGTCATTGTCGCCACGACTTTATATAACAAAGTCATTCGTATAGAAGAAGCTACGAAAGTGAATTGAGTTTATCGAATGGACGGCGCACATGTGCTTGCGTTGGTATGGTCGTTGGAGCAGTGCGTTCACTGGTAGAAGCTGCGACGGTATTGACTGAGAACATGTCCTGAATCATATTGATGTCACATCGGCGGCTACTAAGCTATGCAGATCTCACCGCGGGGAGTTCCACATCCACTTCGCCACTGTCAGGAACGCTCTGAAACTGACTCGAATGTGAAACGAGTCAACGTGAAAACAGAACTGCCCGAATCCCTCACGTGTAAGTACAAAACTACACTATGACCGGGTCCTAACGTTGCGATTTGAAGCAACAACCCCAGATGGGTCCATACTTCTGCAACTCGTGCTGTGAAAAGATGCCTGAGCTCTAGCCGAAAACATACGAAATGTCGCTGAAGCAAAAACTGACCTTAGAAACCCTCATGAGGAGCTAGTTAGGAGCCAGCTCCGCTGCGTCGCATTTTGGTCTAACAATAAGCGCCCATTTACTAGCCGTAGAGATCGCGTGACTGGCTGCGAGAACATGTGGCATAGTTCAAGGATTACATGTGCTCGATGCTCAACTGCATCAATTTTACGTTACCGCCTGCGCTCTCTCTCTCTCCTAGAAGCGGTTCATTACTACTGTGATTCCATTCATTCTAACTTTTGCCACACTGTAATTGACTCACCCATCACATAGTCCCTGTCCCCACCAAGGCTTGTTCTTATGGCTGCTTCCACCTTGACAGTTGGAGCCGAGCCAAGCGTCCTTCTTTGGTCGCCTTTGCTATAACCATTCATGGGAGAGCTATAGAGTTGTGTCTATTTTGGATTTGATTGCTCGGTTTGATTTTCTTAGCATCTTTGTTCAAATGTTTGTTGTTAAGTGCTTGTCTTCTACGTTTGTTGTGTTTGTCTTATGAGTACGTTATTTAGACCACCGTCACACTCGACGACGGATAAGCGATGGAGCGACGCGATCGCTCCATCGCTTGTCCGTCGCCGAGTGTGACCGCGGTCTTACTGCTGGCAAGGAGTTAGCAACCGCAGGAAGTTAAGGAAGTTCGTCCTTATTTGAGGGCACATCGACGGTTTTCTTTGCTTCTTTTTTTCAGTTCCAGTCAAATCGTCTTCCGCATTTCATTATGGACCGCTTTACCCCACCTTCAATCTGGGGTTGTTGCTTTAATTAGTATAGATCCATATAGTGCTGCTTTCATGGAGCAATAGAAATGTGTTGTATTAGAGAAGGATAAACAGAGCATTCTAAAGGTAAAGACGCAGTCAATGTGATTTTCGCCATGGTTTAACATGAGAAAGCCATTCTCATAGAGGAAACTAATAAAAGGAGAATATTGAATTGAAAGCGCACATTTGTTTGTATTGATGCGATCGGTGGAGCTGTGGGCTCAGTGGTAGGAGCTGCGATAGCGTTGACCGATCCCATGTCCTAAATGAGAGTGGAGCGCTAATGATGACACAGATTATGGCGACACTGAGTCATGTCAACCTTACCGCTGGAAACTCCACATCCACTTCGCCACCATCGGAAACGCTCTGAAACTGACTCGATAATGAAGTTCCCCCACGTAAGATTACCCTAGTATCGAGTCCAGACATTGTGGTTTCGTTGTACTACGACTTACAGGAATTGATTCTGCTTCTTGGAGGAGCTGAGAGGAAAAGGGTTTTGCTTCGGGGCACTGAAAGAAAAACTAATCGGTCCCAACACGAAGACACAGTTGCGTTTCTCATCCAACGAAGACACAATAAATCCATATTGCAAAGCGTCTACATAGTGGAGAAAGGAGCTTGAAATCCAACAATCCACTTTCCCGGCAACATGGATTCGCACTGTCTTAGGTGTCGTCATAACGAGATCTTTCATAAGGAGGAAGCTATGAATATAAATTGCGTTATCGAATTAACATCGCACATGTGTTTGCGTTGATACGGTCGTTGGAGCTGAGGATTCAGTAGTGGAAGCCGCGATGGAGTTGACTGAGCCCATGTCCTGAATGATAGCACGAATGATGCTCCAGACTACGGCGGCTACGGAGTTGTGGACCTCACCGCTGGAAATTCCACGTCTACCTCACCACTGTCGGGAACGCTCTGAAACTGACTCGACAATGAAACGAGTCAGCAAAAACAGAATATCACATAACTGCTCCACGTGAGTTAATACCACACTATAACTGGGTCTTTGTTGAGAGTAAACTACTCCATGATAAATATAGTGCCGTTTTCACTTTGGAGCAAAATAGACGTGCTTCAAGTATTAGATTGTAAGGAAAGTTCATGCCGTCTTCGACAGTTCAACTTACAATACCTCATTTCTGACTAACAATAAGTTACAGGCTGATGTCATAGTTTGCGAATCGAGCGATTCGCCAGCGAATCGTTGCACCAGCGAATCGAACTTTGCGCCAGCGAGTCGAACGATGTACCAGCGAGTCGAACTAGGTACCAGCGACTCAATAGTGGCGGGACCCAACGTTCAAAGGAAGCCCGCCACTTTCAAACAGTGTCCACTGTCAAGTCCCGCCACTTTCAAACAGCGTCCACTGTCACGTGACACTGTTTGAAAGTGGCGGGCTTCCTTTGAACGTTGGGTCCCGCCACTATTGAGTCGCTGGTACCTAGTTCGACTCGCTGGTACATCGTTCGACTCGCTGGTGCAACGTTCGATTCGCTGGTGCAACGTTCGATTCGCTAGCGAATCGCTCGATTCGCAAACTATGACATCGGCCATAGGAAGACTGATTCAGTAGCATCCTCTTAGAAAGCGTGGTTCTTGCTTTATTCAGAAGAAGAGCCGGCGTTGCTCTCTGTCTATTGCTTTCACTTTTTCAGACCCTTGAATACAACATACTGAACAAGCGAATGCGCACGATTTCCTTCTTCTCACTCGAACTGGGGCAGAAAGGAGTTGGATCAGTCAATGGTATGAACCATTTGTTCGAAGTAGCAATTAAAGCATAAAAAGCTGTGCAGCGATAGTTTGGAAAGCTTTTGTAGCGGTGGCGAAAGCCTCGAAGATGGTGAGAGTGGCTGTTGGATAACAAACGTTGGCAAAATTTCGCTGAAACATATGATAGGACCAATGTGCTTGGCAATGTAGGGAAGGTCGCTACTGGATTAAGGATAACTTTTTGTGGCTTTACGTGGCGAGTAGATGGAAAAGTTCGCAAAACTCAATAAAGGGTTGCCGCAAAAAAGCGCGGTTCCGAAGAGCCATCAGACCTTCCTCTATCTTGTTTCGAGAATGACCCGTCTTTTTTCCTGATTGTGACTTCCAATGTGGAAGGGGTTCTTCACAACAACTGTGAACCCCGCTGAGTCGTTTGATCACGACTAGGGTCAACAAAACCCGCAAAGGTGAAGCTGCACAAAAAGATTGTGGTGCCTGTTATTCGGTCTGCAGCAGGCGCTGCCTTTCGAGCACAGGAAAAATTGTCCCAGAGGGACTATTCTTGGCATGGTTGGCATGGCGTCAGAATGCCCCGAAGTCTTGACGCTTGCATACAGCAAAGGCTGCCATAAGTGGGCCGACTCTACTCCATAATGCACCTTAACCGCCGACCGCAGGACCACCCAGCAAAAAAGAGCTATCTGGAATGTTAGCTCTGCCACAACTGTTCTATACTCATCAGACCTTTACCTATTCAGTGCCACTTTCCCACCCGTCTTCATAGCGCCACAAATGAGAAAAAATCTAACATGATGGTGAAACGACCTTCGCCGAGATCATCGCCTCTAGTACCAGAGCACTTTCAAAGGACAGACTGGTTTACCCACATGATAGAAGCAAGGAAGAGCTGGTTGTGATGGTTTTTACTACGAACGAAAACGTTGTGTTTGAGTTGAGATATGCACACTAAGTCTCCACGGTCCGGAACAGCAAGACCTTCCCTCACAAACTAATACTTACAAATGGATATACTTACAGATGGTGATTAATGAATTAAAGTAAAGAAGCTGTGTTGTAATTATGCTTCATGGCTTTTCATGACAAAGCCATTCGTAATGAGGAAATTACAAACGAATCTTGTGTATTGAATTGACAGCGCACATTTGCTTGCGTTGATACAGTCGGTGGAGCTGCAAGTTCACTGGAAGGAGCTGCGCGTTCACTGGTAGAAGCTGCGATGGCGTTGACAGAGCCCGTGTCCTGAATTAGAGCGCTAATGACGTCATAGATTACGGCGGCTATCAGTCCACATCACGAAGGAGCCTAGGAGGGCACAGAAGAGTCTGAAGATTTCTGAGCTATAGTATGAAAAAGGCTATTGCCTGGAGGTGCGTCACAAACTCATTAACAAAGTTGGTAAAATATGGAAGAGAGTAGCCTACAGGTGGACAGACTGCTTTTGGTTGCGCTGTTGCGACTGCACCCATCGGAGCACACGGTGGACTTGCGTACTGGAGTAAACAAAGGTTGATAGCCTAATTCGTTGGAAAGAAATATTATACGTGGGAAGCTTACCAAAGGAAATTCCACTTCCACTTCCTCATCGCTAGTACTAGTACTAGCACTAGCACTAGCACTAGCACTAGTACTATTACTATCACTAGTCGGTCTCTGAAAGCTAGTCGTGTGAAGACTGATACGAAGTATAAATTATGGATGCACATCGTTTCATCTGTTTAAGTAAAACATTCTCACTTCCAAACTAGAAAATAAAGTTAAGATGTCACAGTGCATCACTGACTCATTAGCGAAGTTTGAAAATTATGGAAGAGTTGCCTACAGATAGACATACTGGTTCTGGTTGCGATGTTGCGACTGCACCCATCGAAGTATACGGTGGACTTGCGCACTGGAGTAAACAAAGGTTGATTGCCTAGTCTGTTGAATAGAAGTATCATGAGTGGAAAGCTTACTAAGGGACGTTCCACTTTTACTTCCTCATTGCTGGTACTGGTACTAGCACTAACACTAGTACTAGATGGACTCTAAAAGCCGGTCGTGTGAAGTCTACCACGAAGGATAAATCATAGATGCATAACGTTTCATCCGTTTCATTAGAACATTCTCACTTCAAAACCGGAAATGAAGTTGTAAGTTAAGAGCTGCTGACAAGAGAACTGCCTTATTTGTTGGACGATTCTACTGCCACCCAAAAATAACACTTTATCTCTCTTTACGCTAAAGAATGAAATTCCCTAATGAATCCATATAATTCACAGTTGAGAACAAGTGTGGTCT